GGCAGGAGCTTCTGGAGGCGCGGCGCTGGTCCTGGTGGCTTCTGGTGCAGGAGAGGGGGTTTATCTGGTGGGTTCTGGTGAAAGGTTTAGGGGTGGAACTTGGAACCCATTCAGATCATCTAGCGACATATTCTGAACTATCAATGTGTGTTTGCTGAATTAACTTGCACAGTGGTTGCAAGCGTTCCAGCGTCACTGGGAGCGCCTCCGGTTTGGTTCGCGCAATGGTGTGGCTTGATTTGTGGCTATTCACATGAATGTGGAAATGCACCCCAGGCCTTGTTGGGCAACTTTGGATGGTTTTACGCGTTGAAACAATTTGATTGTCCTTCTTTGCGAAAGGGGTTTGCTGCAAATTGAGGCCAGAGGTTTTCCAACCATTGATTATTGATTCGCTGAAGAATGATATTTTGGGCGGGAAGAAGGCGAAGGAGAGTTTGGGCACGAAGAAGGCAAAGGACATTTTTGGATTGGAAGACGGCGAAGAAGGAACATTGAAAAAAACAAGCGTTTCAGTCAAACAATTGGAGGACTTAAACGTTTCACCCTGACATTTTCACGATTTCTTCCTTTGCCTTCTTGCCGTCCAAAATCTCTTCCTCTTCTTCCCGTCCACCGTTTTAGAAACCATGTGAAACGCTTGTTTCAGAGGTTTCCGTGACAACCGTGCAATGTTTTAAACATATAGGCTTTAAACAGAACATGTTTTTAAAACTATTTGTGGTGCACCGTAAACACAATTTTCCAACATGTCAATACATACTCGCTGAAGATGAGATTACCTTTGGGGGAGCAGCACAAACCTTGGCACACCATGCAGTTTATCTCGGCCTTCTTGGATAAGTCCAAACAAAGTTTTGAAACATAGACATGGGCATATAAATAATTAATGTATAATTCAGTCTCCAAAGTAAATACCGTCAATGAGTCAATGATCTCCAATAAACATGTTCCCACCTTCACATGTTTCACGTGGTTGTTCGATGTTTTTCATGCTTCAAGAGCCGTGCATGTCCAGGCAAATGCACCAACGAAGGAACCTGCGACAGCTGGGGTGCCCAGATCCGGTTGGTACAGCTCGTTTCAGAGGGGAGACCCCTACTCGATGATACTACCCCCATCTACCTTCCTGCAAACTAACATTGAACCTGAAAATTGACCCATGGAAGAACAGTATGCAACACCGTGGTGACACGGGGGGGGCCCATGTAGGGAGTACCAATATGTTTTTCTCAGGTGATACCCCCATGCCCTTCAGGGACCTGGCATTATCTGGCCTTGACCTCTCCAGAGGAGAAACAAACGTGACGCGACCGGAAAACTTGCCACCACAAGCCGGAACAAGCCATGTCAAGGGCGATTTGCTCATGTCAGCAGACAGTCATTCTGCCCAAAGACGCCCAGGTCGACAAAGGTTAACCGGTTATATAACCGCATTTTTTTCCATGGTTTCCTTGAGGGTGTCAGAAAAGACATCCAACAGATTTCGAGATGCGGGTCAGACCGGAACATGGCTGATAAAGAGGTTACCCAAAGATACCCAAAGTAAGTTCTTAAAGTGTGAGGGTCAGTCATTTTTTTTGATCGATGATAATAAGAAACTTCGTCAGCCTGGGCGTGAGCTGCGCCTTTGCTGAGATGGGGGATTCCTTGTTTTTGTGTCGGAATTCAATCAGTTCTACCTGAAACGACACTGAGCGTCGACCACTGGGAAGACATTTCTACAAATCAGCGGTTGTTCTGAGCAAACCAACTTCTTCAGTCTATCCATTGAAATCCCTTCATTTCGATATCACTTATCGGGATTTTTCACATCTTCAGAACGATCAACTCAGCCACGCGCCAGCCAATTCAATAGAGTGAAGGGGACGATCAACTTCATATTGGAAAGTAGGATGGGAGGTCAACTGTGAAGGTTCTTGTCGGATGCTGAGCAGGTAACTTTGGTTACATGTGCCATTGTTCAAACATGGTTTCAGAGTATATAGATGGCACCATCTCCAAAAGGTTGCTTATATGGACCCCAATATCAAAAGACATTTAGTGGGTTTTGTGCCATATACTTCTTGAAAACCACTATCCATGGACCCAGTGCAGACGGACTTGGCCATCTGGTCCTTGCCGAGTCGCCGGCTTCTCGGATTTGGCCGGCCGAGTCGCCGCCGGAGAACCAAGAGAACCCCAATGACGTGGGCAATCGTCCAAAAGGCGTGGACAAGGCGTGGGGCATCGAACGGAGACGTCGAGGGGGTGGTGGAGACGCATTTGAAGGGCCATGCCGGGTCTGGTGCATGCGCTGCACGGAAGCCCACGCCGTTTGGGATTTTTTGTTGTGCTGCAAGACTTGCAAGTTGGTCTTTCAGGTCTCGTGGCCTGGCCCCGCCGGTTGGCATGAACGGTTCTCTTCGACACCTGACTGGGGAGACCTCCCCCGACCAGCAGGGCTGGATATGTTCTGATGGAGCCGAATGGTATCCTAAGCCCATCCTTGCCCAAAGAATCCACCTGCTTCACATATCCCTATAGAATTCCAACTTACTGTAGGGGTATAGTCTTTGTAATAGTCTTCGCCAAACAACCAGTGTTTTTTGCTAAGATTCTAGACCACAAAAGAAGGTCTTGAAGGCCAGAGATGTGCCTATGAGAAGAACTCAACCATGTCAATGTACTGTATAGATCACGCTTCCATGCTCTCATGGTCCCACAAGCTTGTGTGCTTCTCTAGACCTTTATTTATGGTCGGGCCCACGAGTCAATCCCACGAACTGAAGACAAAAGAAGCCTCCAAGGATTTGCCTTGCTCACCACTTTTTTAACATCATCCAGATTTCATCCTGAAAACCACCGGATTCCCCTGTTGTCGTCCCCACCCGACTTGGGATGCCAGGAGAGCGAATCCTAGGCCGGGTGCGGGTCCAGTCGTGCAGCCTGCCGTGCGGTGTGGAAGTCACGTAGAAAGGTGATGCCTTTCAGGTGGAGAGCCGTTCTCTTTCTGGCGATTCCAGAACTTTCGAAGGAACTGTGTTCTCTCGGCCGTTTGCCAAGCACCAAGAGCTCCCTCCAGCTGACTCCAGCTTCAAACTTCTCCCAGTCGCGCCACAGCTCTGGGCTCCGCCACTTCTTTCGCAGGCAGCCAGTGTTGAAAGAGGGGGGGGCGTGGCCAGTTCCTGCACCGCTGGACACATGGCACGCGGTGTTCGTCGGCGATGGCGGCAAGCGAGACCAATGGGCGTTTCTCGGCCCCACCACGGTGCCCAAGTGATACGTTTTGAATGATCCACTGCAAGTCACTGCATGTTAGCGTTCTTTTCAAGCACAAGCTCATATTATGTGAAAATATGTGAAAGATGACGTGCTGGCTGGCTGTTAGACGTGGATTGAAAAATCCCTCCCCGCCCCCCAGCATAACTCCTGACTCAATGCCAAAAAGACAATCTTGTGAGAAAGCCTCCAGGGGAAAAACAAAACACACACAACAACATCACCAGAATTGGTCATTGAGCCGTGGCCGTTGTTTGCAGAGGGGGTGTGAGTCGACCAACCTTCCAAGGGCTCACCGGTTGCCCCCATCGCTCGCAGCCTGACTGGAAGCCCGTTATGTCGGTGCAGCCATTATGACTGTCCAAGGGCTGTTCCAACGCTTGCGCGAAGAAAACAGTGTCTAGAGCAAGGCCAGTTGGATTCATGGAATCAGAGTGTGGAATGGCAGCAAACTAATAAGTTCATTCCCGACCTCGTCGCTTTAGGACCAGATGTTGTTTTGGTTTGATGAATGTTGGGGCAGTTTTATTGGCACTTGGACCCAATGGGGCCTCGTGCACAAGGTGCATCCAAGTCCAACCTTTCTCGCTGAATGAATTCGCTGCATCAGGAGGAACTGAGCCGTGAGCACCTGTTGGTTCTATTATGTTCTATTGTGTGTGTGATTCGTTGGATCTGAAGAGCATTCAAGCTGATCATCAGCCTTAGACTCTGCTTTCTGCTTTCACCGAGCTGAGTCTGCGACAACTTACGGCCGGACCGAGCCTGATGCAAGCCATGTTGCACGATGCCTGCTCACTTCACATCCAATGTGAGAACCTGTTGCCCCAAGAGCCAATTCCTCGAGGGGGGGGTGCCCAATTTGTTGCTTTCCCTGTTGGCCCGTTCCGAGACACGTCAGACACCGGGAATGTTTGGCTCGGGCCGGTGCGATTGTTGGCCCCTCCCAGCTCCCAGAAGTCTAGATCCACCAGATGAAACATGGCTTTTGGAAGCGCAGGTGGTGCATCCCAAGCGCTCAAGAACAAAACAGCTGGTCACTCGAACTCAGTTCGGACGGGTTGAAGTCAAGATGGTCACCGGTGTTTCTGTTTGAGCACCATGTCGAAGCTGATGATGCGTGCGAGGAGCTATTACTACTAGTATCACTACGTATACTAATGTTTGCAAACCTACCAGGAAGGGAAGGAGGAGTTTAGTTGGTCTATGTCCGTTGTACGTTGTGTGTTTCCCATGACCTGTAACAGTCAATAACAGATGACTAGACTATATATATATATTCTTGAGAAAGGCCCTTACTAACCATCATCCACTGGACCCAGGGAATGGGATACACCCAACGTATACGTTTGACTGGAACCGAGGGGGTTACAGTTACACATACTGTTGGAAGCTTTGTTGGAGGGGGTCCACCGCGTTTTTTGTTGGGGGACATGCTTGTGAGCCTGGCAGCCGCCTTTGGCGGAGCATGCCATGGTTAGGACCAGAAATCACGAATGATGCAGGGAGCAGATGTGGCCCTGAATGATCTAAACAAACAACTACAGCATCCATTTCAATCAACTTCATGTCGGACACCCGGAAATGCGGTATCATTTTTACGGCCTTCATTTCACTGCACAATATGCAACAAACACGCTATATGTTTTTACTGTATTAGGTACTCAGCTGTCACCTTCATTTAGGAAATGATGCAGTTTCTCGTAACAGCCCGCGAATCCCTTTTTTCTCCCTGGAAGGCACCCGCTGCTGGCGCGAGATTGGAGAAGGAAGCCAAGGCTGCCTAAACGTCACGAGTGTAGATACCTATGCCATCTATGCCTCATGCAAGGACCTCCATTCACAACGCCGAGCATGGGTGCTGGTTTTCATGGCACAGCGGTAGGTCTTAAATTAGGTTGTTCGTCTGCAATGGAAATACATCGTGCCATCATCCTAGATCTAGAAACATTTGACAAAGGGAGCGGTGCTCCAGAGACTTTTGGCCACGGCCCAGCTCTTTGTTTCGATGGCATCCCACGGCCGAAATTTCAAGACTGGAAGCAATCAACCTTGGCAGCATTGGACAGCGCTCAAAACGGTCGAACCAAACAGCCCCCCCGAAGAGTCCAAAAGTGTTCAGAGGATGCACGTCTTAAGCAAATCATACCAGCCTTGCTTGGCCTCGCCGATCCTCTCCCGCCCTCCTAGCCAGGCTGCTTTGGGACCCGAGGCGTGTCTTCAAAGCCGACCGATTGCGAGGGGTCGTCGACTTGCGAGTCGGGTCTGTCCCAGTAAACGAATCACAGTCCGTAAAGGAGAACATCACTCTTTTTGAGATGGAAAGGCCTGCAATAACCAAACCATCATTTGCACTCTAAAGACCATAAGTTTTAGAGTCTTTAACTCTCAGGGTGTACCTTGGTTGACCTACCTTGGACCTTGGAGGTCTTTCACTGTATCATTGCGTCAAGATCCTTGCAGGCGAAACCCGATGACGGAAAGATTGCGACTGATGTGGCGGGGCTCTCAGGAGTGCTCTTGGCATGGCTTTGGCGTGGTTTGGTGTTGATCCGAACAAATATATCTGCAGTTCGGGTCAGATTTTGATTACTCACCTGCTGTCACTATGAGATACACTCACCCTCGCAGAGGTGCGCGGAAACTGTTGTTTCTTCGGTGGTTTGAGATATGTGTATGTCATGGTCACCGCCTTTGAGATGATTGATCCCTTTGAAGGAAGAAACCACCTCAGAGTTTCTTCCTCTTGGGTTGCTCTGTCACCCGTAGGTCGCTTCTCGTCATCGCCTTGTCTTGCTGAAGGATGAACTTGCTTAATCAGGACTCTCAGAGAACCTTGCTTAGTTGTCTCGTGAGAATGGACATCCCTCTATGTCTAAGGCTATGTCTATAGGTGTCTTCGATGTTCTCCCAGGGCTGTCTGCGGGGGCTTCGAACACAAGCACAGACCGACCGGATGTGGGACCCCGGAGGTTACTTTGCGCTGGCTTTGGATGTGGGACAAAGAGCCCTTACAGGAACGGTGATCAGGAAAACGAAAAAGGAACTCTTAAGGAACGGTTCCCCAGCTTTGTTGTTGTGCTCTGTGGTTAGTTGGATGTGCTTGGGCTTATTATCCAGCTTGGCTAGTCGCTTGGTTTGTCCAGGTGGCCTTGCGTGCCCTTTCGTTAGCTATAGCTTGCTTGCCCGTTGGCTCTTGGTTCGCTTACTTGCCCTTTGGTTAGGCTGTCTTGCCATATGGCACTGCAGAAAATGCATGAAGAAGAGAGGTCGGTCAACACCATGGAGCCATCGGTCGCATACCTCCCGATGCTGTTCGAGATCCATTGAGAGAAGAATGCACTTTGAAATGATTTGAAGAATCACCAAGAAAGTGGAAACCTTGGCTTCCACCTGGGCAAGCTTCCTACACTTGTTGTGCTGGCCGTAAGCTTAGTCGGCCGGCAAAGTGAGTCATTGACTCTGGGCCCACAGCTCAGAACCTCAACGATTGTGACGACAAGAGCTAGATTCAAACAACAAAAAAAGGAACACATACCTGTACCTTTCAAGGGGTGGTTAATGGAGATCCCTAAGTAGTTTGGGGTAGTCTATTGGAGACCCCTTTGAAGGTGCTGGTATTATAGTCACATATGCTGTTTTAACAGATTTAGGATATATGTTTAATGTAATTATAGACTGTCATAGTCATAGACTGTGTAAACAAAAAGGTTTGGCACGCGATCTATATAGATACATAGCAAGGACTTGCCTTCTCGGACTCAGGTGGAGTTCGCACCTGCGGAGCCCCAACCACCGCGCGACGACATCATCGCAGGTGCGCCATGACGAACCCAGTTCGCGGTGACACCAGTTGAGGTCAGCGTTTTGCACTTTGATTCACTCATATATTCACTCACATGGAAGATGGGTTGCGTGTTTCGTTGCAAACCGGAGGTCTTCAATCCATACGATATATAAAAATTAATATATATATTGTGTAATATTGTGTCTGGTACAAAGTATATACGGTGTATAACGGTACGGATAGTTGTACACCTACTACTTGCTTCGCTTCGATCAACTTTAGCTCAGTTTGTCCCAGCACTGGTCTCATCCGAGGGTCGGGGGATACACGGTGTGTCCGGTGCTCGGGGTGCTCGTCATAGGAGTCGGATCCAACGATGAGGCGCTGGGGATACACGTGGGCTTGGACTCGGCAGCGCGGACGTTGGATGTGTGTGTTGTGTTTAATACACCCGGGGTTATGAAGAGATGAAACCTGAAAATGGACCTTTGGAAGACTCTTGTTGAACGCCCACTTCCATGTAGGGTGATGTGTTCGTCGGAGACACGTTCCGATGGTTTACCTCACTGCTGGTCGAAATTGGTTCTGCTGCACGATCGTAGGAGAAAGGTTGGGGACAAATCTGGTGATCAGTGATCTGGTGATTATGGTCATTGCAGATGAAAGAGTTGTGATGAAATGGTTCTGCAGACGATTCGTTTGAAGAGTCCTGAACTGTCCCGATTGAATGTATGTTGCTTCAGCGACTGCGCAGTTTTGACAGATGGTTTGTAATATGGCAAGATGGTATGTTTGGGAATGTTTGGGATGAATGATGGGCTCCCTGACAAAAGAATCATGGAAGTGGATGACATGGCCCCATGATGACCATCTTCCGACTACGCGATAGGTCGTGCCATCCACGTCCATGATCACTTGGAGTGTGCCTGCTTGAAATGCCACTTACGAAGCTCTTCCTCAAATCTGGCCAGGCACTGCTCGGTAGGCTCTTGGCTTTGGAAGCAGAAGTGCTCAGGCTACAAGGCACGGAACCGAGAGCTGCGAACCGAGAGCTATGAGACGTGGTGCTTCCAGGCTTCTTGGGTGGCACACGTTCTTTCCTTTTAAGGGCACACCTGCAGTACATGTTGGGAATTCATCCTGGCCGTTTTCTTGTTCCCAACAGAATCCTGACAAAGCCTGGTGATTCGTGAATGGTGAATGATGCCCCCCATGCGAAAAAGTGCTGAAGCACTTCTGGATCTAAGCGCCTCTAGATCCAATGGGTTTGCTACTCTTTTCTACTCGTTTTCCGATTGATCGCCAACAATGCTTGGGAGAGAAACTCACCTCAGGAAATGCAATCGTTATTTCCTTTTTTCGGGGGGGTGGTTGGCCCAGTGGTCGGGCTTACTGTAACAAAACATAGACATAGGCGCAGCCGTTTGAGTGTGGGACATGAATTCGATCAGCATAACCTATAGATGCTTCAATTCTCAAATTGGTGTCTAGGTACGACTGCACGTAGGGATTTGCGGGTGCCGAACTCATATCTTGAAATGGCCATGGCGGACGTCAATCTTGAAGTACATTTCTTCATCCAACACATGAGGTCACCTACCCTCAAACATCCTGCTGTTGGGACTACGATGTTATCCTTCTGAACTCATACACCGAACCCTTAACACAACCCCAGCTTCTCCGAACGTCGCACGGCGAACATGCGTGGCCTCTTTGCCTTTTAAAAGGTGGACGGTTTGTTTTGCCTTTGTCCTTTCCCAGGCGAACGTTTCCCACAACCTGTCGAGTCTCCTGGCGGCAGGCCGTGGGCTTCGGCTCTTTGGTCCGATCCACCCGGTGCGGTCGTGTCGGTCTTGTCACCCAGGAAAAGCGGGTTGAGGGGGAGAACACCCCGCTCAAATCCAGGTAGAAAGTGTGGTGAACCTTCACTTTCCACAAAAAACCTGGATTCAGGATATATGCTGGAGATCATGCGAGGTCGCACGGTGTTTGTTGTTTCGTCGGATGCCAGGATGTACGGTGAATTGTGGCGAACGGCGCCGCAAACACGGATGAAACTGGGCAGTATACTGAGTGGCTTCAGCTGAGCTGGACACTTGCCCTGGCAGCCATGCCCCATCCTGGCGGGTGCATCGGACGAACTCTCCATGTTGCCGAGCTCGTGCTGTTTGTGCAGGCAGCCAGAGATGAGTGAAAGTCCCAGACGTTTCTCGGCGGAGAGGGGGGGGTTTGGACACTTGAATAGGTCCTTTCGAGTGAATGCCCCTACTTGGCCTGCATGGGACTGCAGCTTCCAATGCTTTTGTGAATTTGCATGTAACATTTCTCAGGCCTGTCTATAGAATGGGCCTTGTGCTGGGTGTTCCTTTTCTGCTGGCAACATGTCTTTGTCTTTTGCGAGATCTTTGGTTCCAGAGCAGTGACTCAGTCATTTTTGTTCAGGAGATTGTTTGCTGTTATTGGCGAGACTTCTCACAAGATTAGGAAACGGGAAAGGGGAGGGGAGTGTAGAGGAGAGACGGAGACTGTAAATAAGTCATGAGTATTGCAGCAGTGAATTTCTATGGCAAAACAGGCGTATTCATGCGGCAAGAACTTCTTGGGTGAGTCATGCTTGAGCTGAACACCATGTATTTTCACGATAGGTTGGGCTTGCAACCAATTCAAAAGTGCAGCAGCTCCCCACCCCCACAAAGCAATTGAAGCAAGGACATATCTTTGGCTAGTCACGTTTTATTTGTTGCCCTGGCTTCTTGGATGCCTTAGGATTTGGCACCTCCCATCGCTACCCAGACCTCGATCTGACCCCTGTTTGGACCGGACCATGTTTTGGCTCCATTTGCCCTCCTCACTGAGCTGCACCAAAAGGCCCCAGCCCGCATGGCGAGGGCGAGCAGCGCCCGACAGAGGTCGGTCAGCCGGGCGAAGAGGAAGTCGGTCTGTGGTTGCCAAAAACTCATATGAATGGCGCCCTGAAAGACTGGTTTTCCTCTACGAACCAGCCAGGAGAGGTTGAGAGACCTTATAGGAACCTGTAGTGGTACATATATAATATATATATATATACATGATGGGCGACAAAGGGCTGCTCAACCTCTCTAGGAGTGGTTGTCTTCAGAGTCTTTGTCTTCAGGGCTAGGGATTCAATCGCTGATTGGTCTCAAGAGGCGATTTCTTGGGGTGCGGTGATCGGATGTTGACGCTTGGTGCCAGGGTGCGCAACATGAACCGGAGTTCTTAGCCCTGTTGTGTAGAGTTTGTTTAAACATTGATGTGCTGCACACTGTTTCTGAACAGTCAAACAATGTCGACAAGCAAAAACTTGAACATCATCTAATTACCATTATCTACCTACCAGCTGGCTCGATGACGTAGCTGTGTTCACACATCCCTATACAACTCAATTAACATTCCTTTTGCACCGACCACACAGAAGAGGGCGCAAACCAGACGCATGTTGATGCTTTTGACATTTTGGGGTAGGCAGCTGCAGATGCATGTTCATAGAGGCCCAGTTGCATTTGCATGCATTTGCTAGTTCCATTACCTCATTGCCGCACCGAGCACCCCGCCATCAGTTGCCCATGAGCTCCTTGGGCTTGAGCCTGCTGTCCAACAGCTCGTTGCCAGAGCCTTTGTGGGGAAGGCCTCGGGCATGTTGCGAGGTAAATGCTGAGTCTCATTCCCACCCGTTTCTTGCGCCCACTAGGTGCTTTTTGTGTGCAAATGCTTACCAGGTACCAGCCACAGCCTTCTGAAGAGACAGAGAGAGAGAAGGAGACAATTAAATTGGATCTCTTAAAAGGTGTGTCCTTCTACAGTCATGGGATGCATTTGTATATCCATATGCGTGGGTGGGTGAACTGTTTTTTTGTCTACAAGTGTTCTCTTTCGATTTGACACAAGGTTCCTGTTTCTGATTTGCTTTGTGATCTTCAAGATGTTGTGGTGTTTGGCTTGCTAAGAACTTTAGCATGATTCTGCGTCCAAAAAGCATCCGCCTGAGGAAAGTCACATTTGCTCACGGAATCAAGGTCTTCAACGTTTCTCCAATTTGTATTCAAGGGATTGATTTCAGGATTCAGGATATTCAGGTAGTGATGGACCTTCAATAATACGGCTGCCCCTAGCAAACGATTGAGGGAGTCTGAAAAGAATGAGTTCCCCCAAAACTAATTGTAGTATCAGCAGCGGTTGTAGTAGCAGTAGCAGTAGTCTTAGTGGTAGTGGCAGTGGTAGAGGTGGTGGTAGTAGTAGTACTAGCAGCGCCGGAGTAGAATTAGGAATGGGCGTATGAGTAGGAGTAGTGCCGCCGCCGCCGTCGTCGTCGTCGCCGCCGTCGTCGTCGTCGTCGTGGTCGTAGTAGTGTTAGTTCTTTCCGAGGGTGCTCTCGGTCAATTAAGTTCCCTGATTTTTGATTAGTCTTAATATAGGGCCCTTGAACAAGGATTCAAGCAAAACCTCAGAAAGCTAAGTAAGAATCTTAAAAAGAAACGATAAGGAAACTATATCGAAACTATAGCCGAACAATAGAACACTAAGCGCAGATACTTCTTTTTCCTCAGGGCTCTAAGATTGGGCATTGTTCCCACCACCTGAGCAATTGAACTCACTCCCTTGGCCTTGCGCACTACCCCCTCGAGAGGGCAGTGGGTGGCGGCGGCTGCGGCGGTGGTGGTGGTGGTGGTTGATATAGCGTCCTGATGTTTAAAACGGGTCGGGTTCAACAACAAAACAGGGAGGATGACCAATTAAAAGAACCACTCTGGGCGAGAGACAGCATTTTGCCCAATTCCGACCCTCATCCGTATAGGGGAAGAAGGCAAACTGTTTTAACAGTTTAACACGATTCCCATCCCCTTTGTGATTGCTCAGGATCTAACAATTCCATGCAATTCCTGGAGCAATTCCAACATTCCTCAGGAATGTTGGAATTGTTAGATCCTGAGCAATCAAAAAGGGGATGGGAATCGTTTTCTCAACTCCTCATTCCTCTCACCTTTGGAACTGTTCATGTTCGATGCGCGCGACGCTTGGTCCAAGGTTCGCCTCGGTCTCCGATCCCGGTCTGTCTGAAGGTGGCAGCGCCTCAGTTGCTGCTGTATGGAAGTGGGAAAGAAAGGGGAACTGGTGGAAAGCCTAAAGCGGAATTGATGGATGATGGTCAAAAGATGATGGTCAGAAGGTGGTTGATGGTCAAAAGATGGTGACTGCCAGAAGTAAAACCTGTTGAAAGATGGTGACTGCCAGGGCGTGTGGCTTCCATATTTTCGGGCGCCACACTCAAACCCCAGTGGGCTTGGGTGTATGTTTCTTGACGGACATGACGTTCTTGGAGCCCGCAAAAGATCCCAAAAGTCTCCGTCACTTCTGGAGTACCCCCAAATAGAGAGACGGTTTCCAATACATGTTGTTCTATTTACTAGTAGCGATGCCCTTGTTCCTAGCCGTTTCTTATTAGCAATGGCCTCCAACCTAATAGTGATGGCCTCCAATCATGCTAGTACCTTCTTGCCATATGGTGGTTTGGTGAGGGGGTCCAACAAATCCCAGACACTCCATGGGACTGCCACATATGCCGATCAGTTGGGGTGGTGCCAGGGGGGTCTGTTTGGGGCATAGATTCCAGGGTCATGGAGTGTCTGGGAATCAGATTTCGTTCCCGACATCGGCCTTGCCGATCTTCGGATTTCACCCCCTCCGGGGCTCAGGAGATTCTCCAAGCAAGGCGAGCAAGGCGAGGCCACCGAGCCGAAAGATGAGATGACGTTCCGCAGCACGCCATGGCGTTGGAGGGAGGGTGAGGGGGGGGAAGGCTCGATGGACCCATGAAGTCCGTTGATGGCGTTGAGGAAGGAACGAAGTCCAAGCGCGATAGACAGGTGCACGGTGGACCCAAGACTTAGCATAGCTGGTCCAGGTCCATCGTGTTGCGGTCGTGCAGCCAGGAGCTACTAGTAACTTCTTACTACTATAGTAGTAGTGGCCTCCACCCTAGTAGCGATCGCCTCCAACCTAACCAGTAGCTTCTTGTTCCTAGTAGCAGTGGGGTCTCTAGTGTTCGAACCACCACCTGAAAGCCCATGTGTTCAAAGCTGATGCCTAGATTCAAATCTTTCAGTGCCCTCCTGCGGAGTCCAGCGGCCTCAAACTGGCGCCTTTGAAGCATGGATGTTCAATCACCCTAATGTGTATAGACACATGTCGACTGTTGATTCATGAAACCCTCCATATGAATCTATCTGAAGCACTTTTGGAAAACCAATTTTTGATATTCAAAAGTGAATCCACATTCTACGCCTCATACGTCGCTTCTCATCGGCTCGAGAGAGATTGATGGAGCCGATGATGTCCGACTTAGCTTCGGTGCCGCAGTGGCTTCCCCAGACCTGGGATTCCAGCGATGCAGTGCATGGGCATTTGGTGGAAGCCTCCAGAGCTTTGAAGGAGCCAGGCCGCTTTGAAGCGCCTCGGAGCCGCCGCACGCCGCCGCACGCCGCGATCGATCGGGTCACGATCTGACACGTTGAGCGGGCGCGGGCCCACAGCCCCAGGGTCAGGCTGGTGTGGGGATCAGGTCGGTCAAGCATCTACCACCCAAAAAGGCAAACCACTTGCAATCATTTTGATGGTGCCAGATGTTTGTGACTCTACACGCCCTTTGCAATCATCATGGAGCTGGATGGCACCACTGATTTGTAGAGGACAGTGACGTCATCCTTTTGGAACCATCCACGTAACCATGATGATTCCACGGGATGTAACATTGGTCACCGAACATCCTGCCAGATGTGTCTGAATTGGACCTCCCTTTGGTCCAGATCCCGACGAACCATGGCTTCGAACAAGTTTGGGTCTCCAAACTTCATGTCTGACGGATTTCGCCAAGCTGCCAGGCTATCCATATATATATATATATCCCCTCATCTCCCCGAGCCTTTCCCGGAGCCTTTCACGGGGCAACAGCCCTGGCCGCACTGAGGAAGCCTTACAACACTTTCGTGCGGCCTACGAGAAGCACTTGCAGGACGTCGACGTCGGTTCGGTTCGGTCGGTTCGGTTCGGTTCGGAAACGAAGGTCCGGTGGTCCGGTGGCATCTACTTGGGTCGTATCTTGGGATGTTTTGGGCAGACGTGATGCTTCAGACACCTGGCACTTTGGTGCCAGACACCTGCTACTTTGTTGTTCATGGCGTGTGGCTCAAAGTTTCGCTACACTCAAGAGCGCCACATAAAGAGCTGTGTGCCTCTTTCATGCCTTGCATGGTTCAGGAATGAGTGGTTTGCAGGCAGCGCAACAACTCCAAGGAAGAGAAATCCCCATTGAAATTTCCATAGAAGATGGTGCCAAAGGGGTTGAAACGAGGCATTTTAATAGTGGTTCGGTGCTATATGAAGAATGGATGAAGAGAATATGTTTTGTTTTTTAATGGGCCAAGTCGCCCAGTCGCCCACATGTCCACCCAGTCCCCATCATGCCCGTGCGACCGGACGACGAAGCGAAGCAAAGGACTTACCGCCGACGGGCGCCGAAGGTGCCCGGCACGGTCCGTAGACGTAGACCGGTGCTGGGCACGCCTGGTCTGGTGCCCTTTGGTGTTAGCTCCGAATTCCGTGCAGGATCTGACTCGACCGCACCTGAGCTTTTCCTGCCTCTTCCCGCTCTTCTTCTCCTCCTTGCGGCTGTCCGATGCGCCCGAGCACGGCACGAGGGGACAGATCGCTTGCTGTGAGGATCACATTAGCGATGCGCGCCTCGGTGTGTACGGCTCACCTCGCTATGAACTATGTACCAGGGCTCCCAGGCCATGGGGTGTCTAATAGGGACTATAAGGGGTGTCCATTAACCACCCCTTAGGGGACCCTGGCACGGTTTGCTTGGTTGTGGAGATGGCTCGGCTGACCTCCCACCATCACCGAGAAACATGACGTGTGATCAAAGCAATGGATGCACTTGGGCATCACAGAAGCTATATAGCCATGTGATACCGATGAATCTCCGAGTGATCTCTAATGATGCTCTCGAGGGCTTTCAAGTCCTATAGAGGTTGAAACATCTTGAAACTTGAAGGACTTACATTCTCAGTGCTTACATTCTCAGTGCCTTCTCCTGGTCATCAGTTTCGTCGGCCATTATTTAAATCCGGCCTGACCCCAATGGATCAAAGAAACATGGTTTCTCAGATGATCGCTGTGACTTAGGGTTCTGGAGGTGATGTTTGATTGGTTTGAGGGCTTTGCGGGAAGTTAGTGTGGCCATTGCTGTGGCTTATGGTTCTGGAGGTGATGTGTCATTGGCGCGAGGGTTTTGCAGGAAGAAGTCGATGTGGCTGATGCTTTAGGCACTTCACAGTTCTATACATATACCCCCTTCGGCTTTGGGCCAGGAACATGACTGTGAAATCGACCCAGAGCAAGACAACATCCAAGCTCATTAGAAACCCAGCTGATTATCATGCGATACCATTCGCAAAGCCACCTATGTAGCTTTTTGGAACTCGAACCCCTCCCGCCCACCGCGGTGTTCGACCGCAACCCGCTGAGGTTCACGTGCTGCCGCGCCTTGTTGGAGTCTTTGGCTAGCAGCTTCACGGACCCGCCTTCGGACAGCCCTCCAGAGGGCTGCTCGCGGCAGCGGTTTGTCCATGAACTTGGTGCTCAAGCAGGCCGGTGGGACTAGGATTAGGACTTCACGTTGCTCTGTAACGCTGAGTACTGTGGTTCATGGTTGTTTAGACATGTTAAATCGACATGTTGGGGTAAGAACACCTCAAATAAATGTTGAGATGTGTTGAACGGCTTAGGTCTTAAGTTCTTGCATGGGTTACTGCATGCAGGAATAGGACATGTCGCGCCCCCCTGGGTGGTTCTTTGTATGCCGTGTGTGGGTCGTTTGCTCCGAGACCACCCCACCCTTGTCAGAGTTTGTCCATTCAGGCCTGCCTCAGGCCGGCCCAAAGCACCACAATATTTAGCCCTGTTTAGGTGTTTTGGTCGGATGTCACTCTATGTCATGCTCCATTCCGAACTTTGCTATCTGAAGCCTACCAAATGGACTGCATGCCGAGGCCACCGATCAGTTGATGAATGATTGTCGGTGTTGACCTCCGTGGACACTGAACGAAGCTGCAAACATGTACAAAAGAAGAGGTCCTAACCAGGAGTCACAGAGGGGTGGTGTTTGGTCTCCAAGTGAGTGGATAATGGGCACCCCTAACTTCCATGGATCGCACCCCGTCTTGTGACTCCTGGAAGGTCCTGGTTGATGGGCGGCTTCCATTTTCGGGCAACATTTGTGGAGGCTGCAGGTGTATTTTTATGATGGAGGCGCTCACACCCCCCCATCTTAAGAGGTCCGCAATCCTCAGCCCGCTGTATTTAGCAGGAGTGTATTTGGACATGGTGCGGCTGGGCCACGCTCACCGTCGGAAGAAGACGAAGGCAGGTGGCCGGAAGTTTAGAAGAAACATGAAGAAACATGGGAAAAAAAGCAATGCTGCCGTCTTTTTTCAAGCAGCAGGGGAAACTTATCTTTTCTTGTTGGGCCTTGTTGTCATATCAATCCACCTGCTCATGAAACATATTTCCATGTCAATCCACCCCAAAGTTATTTCATGTCAATCCACTTGCTCCCATCTCCCTTTTGAACCCACCTGCTCGTGTGTGGAACCTGGTGGACGTATCGACGTATTCGATATATGGACTCTCCGGTGTGGACCGAAGGGGTTGGTGAAATGACAACATCCAGAGCATTAGGATCTAGGACACCCTAATGATGCTGGATCAAATAGGACACCCTAATGATACCCTAATGATCTAGCCTAGGCTTCCAGACATCCAGAGCTTCCCTAATGATACATATTAGATCTATACCAGGACCCTCCAGGACCGGGGTGCCCTGTCTGGAAGCCGTAGTTGCCGGTAGGGTGGGGTAGTCCAGGACCCTCGGACACCCCGACAGGAGGGTCCTGGTATATCATTTAATATAGATCTACATCATCTAATATCAGATGAAGTCCAGATTGTTTCTTTGATTCATTAGATTCGATGATATCAGATGTATACAACTCAGATCCAGTCATCCAATGTCAGGGTCTGACATGACGGCGCCATTCACGAAGCACTAAGCAAGGTGATCCTCCAAACCTGTATGGTTGCCCCCCCGCTCAAGTTTCCAATTCTTTTCAGCCTCGATTCGACCAACTGGCGCAACTGGGGCGTTTCTGGGCATCATGTTGAACCGGGAGGTGGGTGTGTGTTGGTGCGGGTCTTTTTGGTGGGACTAGTTCTAGTTCTAGGATGCATGATTTAAACAATCGATTCTGAGCTCAGGGGTGTGCAAATGCCACGTTCTTTTTGCTTCAGGTCCCCTGTCAACCTTCGCTATTGACTGGAAGTTGGGTGCAATCACCTGGGTTCCCCGCTTGGCAGTCCCACCCACCAATCACTCAAGCATGTAGTTGCTGCATCAGCAAACATCAAGGGCTATCATAAATTCAGATTGTGGACTCTTGATTCTACTTCAACTTCCCCAGACGGTTTCAGGCTTGGGTGATTGGATGAATCAAGAATCAAGAGTCTACATGGCACCTCAAGCTGGGGGGGGGTCCTATTACCTCTAACAGTTGGTAAACAAGCAGATCACTGTCTAGAGGAAGCCCTGCAACTGAACCACCAACATCCACTGGGCCCTGGTCTATCATAATGTTATATATTATGTTCAATATATATATATAT